AGCATCTCTTTGCTGCCATCTAAAGGTTTTGTATAATATGCAGCCCATCCTGATAGCCCTAACTTAATGCCATCTGACAGAAGCTAACTAATATGGCTTAGGGCAGAGGTTCTCAATCTCTGTAAAACAGAGACCCTTTCAAATGATAAGTGAAATAAATTATGAATAAAATGAAGAATTTTACTGAGGTCAAGGTTAGGTGAGAAAGAAATGTCTCAATTACTTTAAATAATTATATGTTAATTGATCTACCACAGGGGTTCTCACTTTGCAGGCTTCTAACTGTTATGCAAATTTGCTTCTTGGCCTTTAAAACAGCAGCATCTTCTGCAGTGTAGCTTAGGCATCTAAATTGCAGCCCATTTTGTTTTTATACTCAACACAATCCTGAATAATCATACAAAAACTAACATCTGCAAGTCTTGAAGTCTCTAATTGAGTACATATACTACTACAATGAACTCTATAAAACCGCAACTGATAAAGGAGCAGATTATGTAAAACAACCCAAAACAAGGTGTATCTCTAAAAGAACTAGAACACATTAAAAAAAAAAAGAATAGACATTGCCTGCCTCCCCACTCCCCAAAACTTCTTATAACAAAAGATCTTGTCTTTCTGCCTTGCAATTCTTCTTCAAACAATTCATTTCTCACTGAGGACTAGATTCTTGCCAAGTTTCCTTTGCTGGGCAAGGGAACTATTTGTGCAAACTCTTCAGTAGGTCTCCGTTGTGTGGCAGTATGAGAAAATTCCTGCCCTACCTTTGAGCACTTTATTTTCTAAAGCCGCTAATCTCTTGTTTTTCAATAAACCTTTGTTCATGCTTCTTTCATCCTGTCAACTGAGATTTTGTCTGCCAAATCTTGTGTTATTATTGGGAGGTGTACATTTAATTTGTTTTCCTGTAGAGCTTCTGCAACTGCAAAGTCTTATGGTAAGTTTTAAATCATGATCAAGCTTACAGTGTCATAAAAGTTTATAGGATATTCTAATTACTTAAAATGATGAGTCAGATAGAGAAAAATAATCATACTAGTAACTATAATATCTAAGAATAAAAGAACAATTTGGATGACAATATTGTACAATGATTAAGGAGAGGAAAAGTTGTGGATATGCACTTTTGATAAGGATCTAGGGGAGAAATAGTTTTCTCCTGCATAAGAAGCAGGATTTAAGTCTAGGATTCAAACTATATCTATATTTAAATTACAGATAATTCTCACTTACATACCGCTGTACTCAGTGACTCAGTAACAGTTCAAAATTGTGACAGTGCTGAAAGTAGGTTTATGACCAGCCCTCAAAGTTGTGGCTGTCACAGCATCCTCACAATTTGGTAGATTTACAACTGGCCTCTATTTAAAACAGTTGCAGAAACCCATAGTGACATGATTGCCATTTGCAAGCTTCCAACTAGCAAAGTCAATGGGGAAACCATTGGTTCTGGTCATGTGATGCCACACGTAACAACCTATAGTAATTCACTAAATGACCACAGGGGAACTGCCACTGGCATAGTCATGTCATGTTTTACTTTATGATCATATCATGTAGCAACAGAATTGCAGGTCTCAATTGCAGTTATTAAGTGAGGACTACCTATTTAGGAATAATTTTTAAATGGACATCATTGTAAAAATTATCACATGTCTATTTTATGCAAACGTGTTTTATTTTGTCCTCTTTTGCTAAAGTTCTCAAATGGAGAGTTGTCTGAGGCACCTTAAGCAAAATAGAAGTGGGGAAAGGGTTACAAATGTAGGGGGATTTACACCTGTCAAGTCAAAGTCATGTCAGAACATGCTTTCATTCTCTGGACAAGCTACTAATTACCTTGAACATATTTTCTCAGAAAAATAAAGGACAAACTTGAGAAAGAGGCAAATCTAAAAGAGATTTATAAGGATAAAAAAATTAATTGTTTATAACTTTGCTTTACAAAGAAAAATTCAGGAGCAAAACCAAGAAAAACTTTACATGCATATTCTAAGAATAGATAAACCCCAACAGAATGTGTACATTCATTTTAAAAAGACAATTCAATTTTCATATTTTCCACACAAATGTGAAAGATGATGCATTAAAAGTTGAACCATTTGTATGGTGAAAATTAAATGACCCAAATAAAAAACCAAAGTGAGTTTTTGAAAAACAAAAGGACATCTAAAAGACAGGTTTCTGAAATAATAAATTGTCCTTTATATGAAAGATATATGGTCACTGGGTGTATTGCTAGTCATTTTTGGATCTTACGAGATCATTCAGGCAAGTTAAAATGAATTGAAGGGAAAAAAAATGCCCTGGTGTTTAGATAAAAAGGGCAAGGTAGGAAGACAAGACAAAGTTTGAGCTCCGAGATCTGGACGTTTTCACTGTAAATAATGGCCTTGCTGGAGTGCCTTGTCAAAAAAAGCACTTGGATGTAGATGATAGAGGGCTAATCTGGAGGGAATGCCTCAGGCACTAATCAAGAAAAGACTGCTAATATTCCATTTGACTCCTTAATTACTAAGTGGTTCATTTTCTGTTCCATTTGCTGCTGCTGCCTCCTCCTCCTCCTCCTCCTCCTCCTCCTCCTCCTCCTCCTCCGTGTACCTGTATTTCAAGTTGCTTGTGATCAACATTGAAACAGATTTAAGCATACAAAGAAATTATTTTCACACTTAATACATCAATGAGATTGTTGAGTCAAAACCAGAAGATGAAATGAGTTGTTACTCTGGATGCTTTCACCATTTCCTGAGGGCTGTCAAATCAGATCCATCAAAGCAAGCAAAGTAGCTTAGGATTTAGTGCCACAAATGTAAAGTAGAGGAGTTCTCAGCAAATGGATTTGTAAATGAGTCTTGTCCATCATTGGATTTCTTGTTCTTCTTGCTATGGTTCAAACTGGCAGAAGATTCTCCCTTCCTCTGCTTCCAGTCAAGGGTATTAATATTCTTTCAGTATGTTATATGATATATAGGCTGTTAGTTTAGCGTACTGCAATAAATACATTGCAACACCTATTGCAAACTTTGGAAGAGTTGTATGTTTTTGTTCTAACGTTCTTCTGGAATACTAGCAGTGAAATTTGGAGGACTATGTAGATTGACCATAGCTATTAGACCAATTCTCTTTGATGTTGCAGTTATGGCAAATTTGACATTGCAAATCCTGAGTTCAGGCTGTCGTAGTGGTGTTGGGTGTTTTGGATACATTGGCACCAGCTTCAGAATCCTCAGGGTAGGTTTCAGTTCTCAGGGAAAGAAGACCCAGGTTTTTATGCAATGAATTTTCCCCCCAAATATTGACTTTAGGATTAACAGTGTTAGCCAGCTCTTGTTAGCAAAGAGCTGGCATAGAAGAAATGAAAGTGATTTCAAATTGTTCTTTAATGTTTTAAAATTATATGCATATCTCACCTGTCCTGTAGTTCAAGTTATATGTTTGTCCTCTCCTCTTTTTATTCATAAAACAGCACTCCAAAAATGGGTTAGGGCATAATTCCCCAGTGTGGTTCAATTTCTAGGTTGAAATTTGAACTCAGAACTGTTCCTCACAGTAAAAGAGCCTTCCATTTGTATTTGAAGTAACAAAAAATGATTATAATGCCAAACGTACTCCCTTACCCCACCCTGTGAAACAAAGCTGGGGAAATCTACCTGGCTATCCCTATTCTGCCACAGGAATTACACAAGCAAATGCTGCTGTTGTTAGTTTCAGTACAACAGGGCAAGTTTAGTGTAGGTCAGGTGGATTCCCCCAGCTTCGTTTGCCTTCCTTCCCACCAAACATCGCCAGCTGGCAGAAATGCATCCACTTTTTAATGTTGGGCAGAGCTGAGTTTGGAGAGAAAGTGGGTTTTAACAGATGGCTAGACTAGTGTGTTGAGCCATCTGCCAAAACTCGCTCTGGTTTTGCACAAATATTTTGTGCGGGTGTGTTCAGAAGAAGCTGTCAGGGTTGAAGTTAGCAAGATGGGAAGAGGGAAGATTGGAAGCAGAGAAGTCTGTTATGAAAACACTGTGCAGATGGACATAATAGCCAAACTTTTTCTTAAGTGCCTTTTTCTTAGGATATCATAAAGAAATCCAAGATTTAACTCTGCATTATGTCCTTATATAAAAACTTGTATGTGGCTTGGTAAAAGCTGCTCTATTTTAGGTTGCTATGGCTATTGTAAAGGATGTTCATAGAGACATGTTATGCCCTAGATTTCTTGTGAGTGTGCTAAATTTCAAAGATAATTATTGCAGGCATCTGAAGAGCTTTAAACAGGAACCTCACTGTTAGTTTTTATCAGTGGTTAGAAATATTAGAACTATTCCAACAGAGCACCAACCCCAAAACAGCCTGAACAACAACATATAGAATCAGGGAAGGTTGTACCATGAAGCAGCAAAGAATAAAGCAAGTTTTTGTCTCTCTGCTTCGCTGTATACTAACAGTGCTCAGTTGCTGTTTGGCTGGTGCCCATTTCTGAGCCAGAAGTCAATTTGGAGACCTGAAGAACAGGGGGCCAGGGTACAGTTTGAAAAAAGGAAATGAATTTTCTCATTGCCCAATTTTGAATAGTCCTGGAAGAGAGTGCCCAGAGGTAGGGGCATGCCTGCACCAGCTTAAAGTGGCCAGCAGATGCCAGGCTGATCCCACCAATCTGACTGTACTAAGGACACAGTGTCAGTGAAGTACATCAGATTGTATTCACCACAAAACCTTTCTTGGGAGAATTCGGATGGTAGGGGAGAAAGACTAATTTAATGTTGGTGCAGTTTAGGCTAGCTGAAATTTGCCTAAATATTTTTGGATTTTCACAAACATCATACAACTATTGCTTTAAGGATGGATTGGTTGTTGGTTTTTTTTTTTGTTGATGTTATCTATGATCTTTTTAAAAAAGCATCTTTTAAAAAAATGTTTACCACTCTAAAAAGTAAACTGAATACCTCCGCCTTCCCATTTCTCTTTTAATATTTCTGCTTTGCCATCTTTTTTTTTTCCTTTAATGACAGCTGTGCAACGCCTCGCACAAAGCCATCTGGAATCCAACAGTTCCTGGATGGATGAAGACTATGCTGAAGATGTTGAGGAAGAAGAAGAGGAGGAGGAAGAGGAGGAGGAAGAAGAAGAAGCTCAGGATTCAGATGACACTGTGAGGGAGATGACTGGCTTGTATAAATCAGGAGGTAAGCCAGACAAAGAGCGCTTTGGAAAGAAGAGAGCAAACCAATGGGAAAACCAGAGTTATCAAGCTGAGTTTTGCAGTGCAGAGACAGGCATGTTTTGAAAATGCTTCCTATTCAAAAAATGTTCTTATAAGTGTATTATTAATCAATCAACTACCACTATTGACTGCTTAGCACTGATTGTGCTTGCTGTTTGATTAACACGAGAGGAATAATTTATTGCTCCTTATGTGGCCTCTGTCTCCATGACACTCTATAGCAGTGTTTCTCAACACCAGCAACTTTAAGATGTGTGGATTTCAACTCTCAGAATTCATGTGCTGGCTTGAGAATTCTGGGAGTTGAAGTCTACCATCTTAAAGTTGCTGAGGTTGAGAAACACTGGGCTATTTAGCATATTTGCCTGTCTGGTTTGTGTGCAGAAAGGGAAACGGCAATTTTCTTTGGTTATATGGCAGTACTCCTAAATAATTTTCAAAATACCATAAATCCCAGAATTCTCAGCTGATATGCTATGTTTTCTGGGCATTATGGGAGTTATATCTGGAGGATGAAAAGTTATATCTGGCGAATGAGAAGGCTGACTTAGTATTATTGCATTATTGGAGTCCACAATCAGAATATCCAAAGGCATTTTTGGGAATTGCATTGGCTTTTTCTTTGATACAGAGAAAAAAGTCTACTATTTTGTTTTAAACAAATGCTCCAAAAAGCATTCAAGTGGGTTACAGAGGAGGCCTTAAAGTAATACAATAGCTGCCTAGTTTCCTAGGCTACAGTTGAAATTATCTCATGTAACCCTAATAGTTCATTGAATTCTGAATTTTTCATTGTTGTTCAAAAATGAACAAATCCCTGTCTGTGTTTGTGTGTGAGTTTTCAGTTCTTGCTTTCAAACTGAATCAGATGATCACTTGCAATACATTTTAAAAAGGTTGTCTGCTTGAACCTGGGATGATATCTCAAAGGGTATTGTGAGGAAAATTGTGAGGGGGGTGTGTGATTCCTGAGGTCAAGCAGTTTTACAGGTATTACTGTAGTGACACACTTCTATTTAAAGGGCTTTCCCCCCACTGTTACCTATGGATCCCACCCACTAGGAGCATACTGTATGTACTGAATATATTTCCCTTCGTTTAGCACCTTTGTCAGAGAGAAATCTGTAACTGTCTCCCCCTCTCAGCACACACATACACGTACCTTCCTATCCTGGCTACAGGGAGCTGCCAGTCTCCTAGGAAACCAGCTTTCTCCTCAGCAGGAAGGAGCTGCAAGATGGGAGAGTGGAATCTATAGAAGACATTTTTCTTTTTTCCACCCCCAGGCCCGCTGTCCACATATTTGCTTTTTCTAGCTATTCCAGAGCAAAGGTTTGAAACTTATGCTGGTTGCCTGGTGCTCTAAAGCACACTTTGTGGATTTCAGACTCTCATGAAATCTACCTGCATGATGCTGATTTCAATCAGTAGAAAGAATAGAGGTTGAACTTCTCCAGCATGTTGTGGGAATGGCGCCAGGGGTTATGCAAATGTAACTGAAAGTAAGTGAAAGCCCATGGATTCTCAGGCTGAGCAACCATCAGTGTTGGAAATTGGTTCTCTTAAAAACAGAAGAAAGCGTAGAGGTCTAGCCCCCCCCCCCCGCCCCCAATAAAGCACCAATAATGTGTTTCTGGTTCATATTTCTTTATTGCCTGTTACAGAATCCCAGGGGCAGGGTCCAGCTTCCAAGGGAAGACTGCTAAGACAATGCACTGGTAAGATAAACCAGCATTTCTTCATGCCAGAAGTCATGACATACTGGTGTGTGTTTTGATTGCATAATTAAACTAATCAGCAGTGACACTGAACAGCAGCAAGGGATAGTTCTCCCATGCTTACCTTGAAGTAATGCAAATGAAATATTTGCAAGTAGAGCTGCTTTTTCTCATTCTTCTGTAATAAACTATAGATGGCCCAACTTGAAAGTCCTCCAGAAGGCTGGAATGTCCTCCAGAAATGTGGACTTCCTTAGTCAGGGGAATTCCAGAAGAATTCAGGAGCCAATTCTGGTTGAAATATTTACCAAGACAATTAATAATTTCATCAGGCAAGAGGGATGTATTATGTGTGAAGATTTAGGAAATTATTCCAGCAGGTAGAAAAGAATATTCGGCTGCCATTCGCAGATAAATTCAAAACTATTATGGAAGTCTACTCAGAGTTACTAATGAAAGTACTATAGATAAGTGGATTCATTTGCAAACAGAGAAGCAATGAGAAACAATTGCTCTGGAAAAGACTGCAGGGCAACCATAAGGGAAGAAGGAAAGAAATTGTCTGACACAAAGTGTGAGAAAACTGCTGCTTTATCTTCTGAGGGATAATGTATTTCTCTTTCTTTCCTTCCTTCCTTCCTTCCTTCCTTCCTTCCTTCCTTCCTTCCTTCCTTGCTAATTATTGTCATCATACCCGACAAAGTCTTGGAAAATAAGCCCAAGGAATCTGAGCATCCAGTCTGCCCATCTCTCTCCAAATCCCTGAAACGGAAAGGTAAATGTGGGTGTTACAATATAGAGTTAAGAGGGATTTATTGCTGGAGGACGTAATCAAAGGTATGAATTTGGTCATGGTTGTTCTCTCTCTCTCTCTCTCTCTCTCTCTCTCTCTCTCTCTCTCTCTCTCTCTCTTTCTCTCTCTCTTCCGTCTCTCTTCCATAGCCAAAGAGTTTCACATGTCTTCAAAAGATAATAAAAACTTACAGAAAATTAGCAGTCTCTTTTACAGGCAATCTGTTCCAATGCTTTTAATTCTTGTCCATTTTCAACTATTTCCTTCACAGTTGAAGGCACAATAGTAAATGTTCTGAGAGAGCAAAATGGAACTTGTGATAAACATAAACATTTGAGTGGTCCAGATGATAACTTTAACTTCCCTTCTACTGTGGTAAATACAAACCAGTGATTCTCTAATTCAGGAATTTTAAGTTAGATGTACTGGGATTTGAAGTTGTAGATTAAGTTATACATTATATTACTCCACAAGGGTAACTTTGTTTTGTTTGATGGTTAAAACAGTGTGATATGTGAATCTAGCAGTAAAAGCTTATAATACAGAATGGCTGCCAGACCTCAAATTTAGTAGTTGCTATGTAGCAAGTCAGGAGATTCTGCAGAGCAGAATAATTTTCTCACCCAAAGCTTCCTGTCCCCATGAATCAAATATTTTCAATTTGAAGACTCACTGGGTACACTAGTATTCCACCAGAATTCTTACCTAGAGTAGCAATTGGCCATGCAGGTTGGGAATTCTGGGAGTTATGATAAAATACTGTACTTCTGAAAGAAACTTCAGGTGGGCAAAGACTAAAAAATAAGGTGTGTTCCTTCAGTAAGGTGCTTTCTTTTTCCTTTTCTTTCTCAGATAAGTTTTTATCTATTACAGTACTGATTTTTCAAATGCTCATCTGTTCACTTGCAAAAATTGATGATGTGTCCATACAAAAATATGTCGGATTCTTCTACAGATGACTTTTGGGAGAAATCACACTACTTTGAACACATGTTTCTGGGTACCATTCCTACTAGTTCTCCAAGACAGCTTTAGTAGCCTTTCAGAAAAACAGAGTGCCAGAAGTGCTTATAAAGAGGGTATTGAGTGGTTTATATAAATACTCATATGACCACTGAAAGAACTGCAGTTCTGGATGAAGGTCAAGGATTCAACCAAGTTCCAGAAGTCTTAATGATACTACATGGACTAGGGACAGAGTTGGCTGTTAGTGGACAATGTTTTTCCCAGAAATTGAATAAAGTTTTCTTCCAATATTAACTGCAAACCAAGAGCTGTTGGATGACAGAAGGGACAATTGGCCAAGGCTGCCTGGCCATTTCCACTTCACTCAAGGCCCCACACTGCTGTCAATCCACCTCAGGAATTCATCCTAGGCTGGCCCGCCAGTGGGATTTTCCCTCACTACTAGTTCCCCCACCCCTTTATTCTGGGTGATTCACAGAGGGACACTTGTCCCAAGCCAATTGGCTTTGAGGGACAATGACAGGCATTCTGGCAGCTAAACCATGCGCCAAAGGTGGGCCTCTGTATTGTCATTGGATGTGGTGGTGCCAGGTGGGTAAGCAGTAGACTTGGGTGCCAGAAGGCAGGAGACATGGCAATTGCTGTGTGGAGCAACCAGACTGTTCCTCTCTGTAGGGGTGCCTTCCCAGGAGCAGCATAGTGTCCTGCCATCCCCAAAAGGAAGGCTTCAGAATCCCTGGGTGCAGAGCAGAGTTAGGAAGCATGCAACAGTCGTGGCAGTGGCAGAAACTGTGGGGTGAAACCAGGGGTGGGATTCAAATTTTTTAACAACTGGTTCTGTGGGCGTGGCTTAGTTGGTAGCTTAAATGGTGGTCATGTCACTGGGTGAACATGGCTTGGTGGTCATGTGACTGGCTGGGCGTGGCCAACTCAACATCACTCACATCGAGGCACACATCTCCTCGCCTGGCCTCTCATGACTGTAATAGTCGTAAGTGTGAAAAATGGTCATAAGTCACATTTTTCAGTGCCATTGTAACTTTGAATGGTCACTCCACATAAGAAAGGTACCAGCAAAGGAGGGAAAAAAACTCCAGAAAAGTTCCAGAGACAGGAAGTCTAGTCCTGCCAAGAATGTAATAAGGGTTAACGGAGAGGCAATTTCTGTAAGCAACACCAGAATGTTTCCTTCCTGGCTTCTTTACAGGATTAGGCCAGTAATTTCTTCTAACAACCGGTTCTCCGAACTGCTTAGAATGTTAACAACTGGTTCTAGTGAATAGGTGCGAACTGGTAGAATCCCACCCCTGGGTGAAACCCAGGCTTTCCCTTTTATTCCCTTTTGGCAGGGTGCTGTGCTGCCCCTGGGAAGGCTTGCCTGATGGAGAGGAGCAGCTCGGTTGCTCTGCACAGCAACTGCCATGTCCCTTACCTTCCCAGTGCCCAAGGAAACTGCATGCCTCATCTGGCATCACCACGCCCAATGGGAAGACAGAGTCTCACTCCTTGTCATGTGGGCTGGCTGCCAGGACACTTGGCTAATTCTCTCTCAAAGCCAATTGGCTGGAGACAAGTGTCCCTCTGCAAATTTTCTGCAAAAACCATAACAACACAAGAGCACACAATAGATACAAACTCAAAGTAAACCGCACCAAACTTGATTGCAGGGAATACGACTTCAGCAATAGAGTGGTCAATGTCTGGAATACTCTACCCGACTCTGTAGTTTCTTCCCCAAACCCCAAAAACTTTAACCTTAGACTGTCTACCATTGACCTCACCCCTTTCCTAAGAGGTCTGTAGGGGGCGTGCATAAGCGCACCAACGTGCCTACCGTCCCTGTCCTATTGTTTCTCCTATTCTTTTATTTTTCTTATATGTACCCATTTCATGTATTCACAACTATGTATACATTTATACTTATTATCTTGTAAACAATTGGCAAATCAAATAAATAAATAAAATAAATAAATAAAATTGACCTGGGCAAGAGGGCAGGGGATTAGTGCAGGGGACCAGTGATGGGGGAAAAACACTGCCTGAGAGCCAGTTGAAGATGAATGCCCATGGTGGATTGGCTGTGGTGGGGGTCCCTGGATGAAGCAGACGTGGAAGGCAGCCCCAGCGAATTTTCCTAGACTCTTGGATGGAGGTACAATGATCCAAAATACAAAGCCAACAAGGTACAAAGATCTGGAATATGAAGAATATTGGAACAGTGTAGAACAACAGATAGCAAAAGGGCAAAAAATTATGGCTGAATACAACAGAAATCAGAATCAATCCTGGGAAGATATAGTGTATCATGCCATAATTGTCTGTGGAAAAGGGATTGATCAGTTCTAGGAACACATAGTAAAGAAATAAAGGCCAATCCCAAGAAGACAATCTCAAATGTGAGGAAAAGTAAGTCTGTGATAGCTAAAGGTTTGAATATTTATGGGTCAAATCAGAACGAATATGTTAGCCTCTGTGTTTGTTCAGCTCTCTTAATGAGAGAGTTTAATTGGAAAATCCTGTGAGAAAATATTTTACATGAGGATGCAAAACTAATGAGTAAAAATCCGTATGAATAATATGGCATATGATAATTGCCACATTTACCTGTACAGAAAGATCATTCCTTGGAACATAAGGATATAATTGTAAATAAAAACTATTAATAAGGTCCACACAGAGATCTTAAACATGGTGAAATTGGCTAATTGGCTCCATCCAAATGCAAAATTGTTTGGGCTACAACCAGAATACCCATCACCTCCTGTAAAAAAAGAATTTGGCTCATAAACCATGGTATTATTTGATAGGTCAAAATAGAATATATAGTCTTATTCCCAAATATTAATCCATATCAACTCTTATGTAATAGTAGTCATATTATATTCCAAGTCTTGTTACTGGAAAAGGATTGAAACCACAAGATGGTGGCAATATCAGAATGTACACCATGTCTCCATTGGAGAGCTGGTTAAGTAAGTTGATAAATGTGAATAGGAAAGACCATGTATAGTATCAGTTCTGCTCACGAAAGAAGAAACACAGTCTTGGATGCCATTCCTTTCTGTTTAGACTTGGCAGCATGGCCCATTCTCTGCTGATAAAAAAGAGATCAATTAACTGGAGCACTCTGTTAGTGAAGTCCATGAATATCTCATATTCAAAGGATCCAGATACTACCTAAAAAGCAGGAGCATCTTGTAGAAGTGAGTTTGATACACAGAATGGGATTAAACTACTATCAATCAGTTGCCTAGTTAAATGTGACCTATAGATTAATTATAAACAGCCACTCTTACTTAATTACATTTTGCTTCTCTCAACGTGTGTGTGTGTCATCTGCTTGCAAATTAAAGCAACCTTTGTCCTCAAAAAGGAGATCTATGTGACCTAACTTCCTGTGACACAAATTGGAACTAAGGCAAAAGAATCTAGTTAAATAAATACTTATGCCTATGAGAAGAAAAATTGGTCTTTCACTTTTCTTAAGGTAGATGAGGAAATAAAGAAGTACATTTAACACACAGAACATGTGGCTAGATTGCTAAGCAAGCCTTAAGCAAGTCTCTTTATGAATTCAGTTTTGTGACAAAGTGTGGTTTAGTCTTAGACTTGTTCTTTGTCATATCCATAATTGCAGAACTTGTTGAAAATAAAAACTGGCAATTTCCCCTCCCCCATTTGAAACTGAGAAATTTTCTTGCTTTTTCAAGTTAGTGATACATCATCAGAAAGAAGCTACATGGTGTTTTTTTTTCTTATAAACTGAAGGAAAACTGGAATATAACAATGACTACTATTACATAAGAGTTTATATGGATAAACTATATAGGGTTTTAAAAATATGATGTTATTGCTAACTAGTAGGAGACATTATACAACCATTTGAAACCTAATTAGTACTTTTCAGGCTTAGATATTCTATACAGTGCCTGAATTGTCCCAATAAGGGGGGGGAAACCTTGTTGTCTAGTGCCTCCTAATGGTCAGTAGCTAATATAATCTCTAAAGTTATAAAC